CTTTTTTAGTGGTGGCTTTGTGGTCACATATTGTTTTAGTTTCTGCTTATCATGAAAGACTTTTATTGCTCCATCTATTTTGAATGATAGTTTTGCTGGGTAGAGTATCCTGGGGTTGAAATTATTTTCATTCAGTGCCTGGAAGATCTCACCCACCCTCTTCTTGCTTTTAATGTTTCTGTTGAGAAATCTACTGTGATTTTCATGGGTTTCCCTTTGTATGTCATTTGCTTTTTTTCTCTTACAGCCTTCAATATTCTTTCCTTAGTTTCTGAACTTGTTGTTTTAATGATGATATGTCGTGGGGTAGTTCTATTTTGATCTGGTCTGTTTGGTGTTCTGGATACCTCTTGCATCTGCACGGTAAATTTTTCTCTAGATTTTGGAAATTATCTGTTATTATTTTGTTGAATATATTACACATTCCCTTTGCTTGCACCTCTTATCTTTCTTCCATGCCCATGATTCTCAAGTTTGGTCTTTTGATGGAGTCATTGAGTTCTTGCATTTTCTTTTCACAGGTCTTGAGTTGTTTAATTAATAGTTCTTCGGTTTTTCCTTTGATTACCATTTCATCTTCAAGTTCTGAGATTCTGTCTTCTGTTTGTTCTATTCTGCTGGATTGGCCTTCCATTTTGTTTTGCTGTTCTGTTTCATTCTTTTTGTTGATGTTTTCCATATCCTGGGTGGTTTCCTGTTTAATGTTGTCTATTTTTGTCCTGTTTTCATTTATCTCTTTATTAATCATGTTCTATGTTTCACTTTGGTGTTTATACAGTGCTTCTATGGTTTCCTTTATTTCTTCTTTTGCTTTTTCAAATTCTCTATTTTTGTTGTCTTGGAATTTCTTGAGTGTCTCCTGTACATTTTGGTTGACCATATCCAGTATCATCCCTATAAAATTCTCATTGAGTACCTCTAGTGTGTCTTCTTTTTAATTATTCTTGTGGGCTTTGATGGTTTTTTTGGCATAGTTTATCTTCATTTTGTTGGAGTCTGGATCAGAGTATCTGTTTTCTTCATTTACCTCTGGTTCCTGTACTAATTTTTTGCTGTGGGGAAACTGGTTTCCCTGTTTTTTCTGTCTTCCTGTCATTTCCCTTGGTTTTGTTATTGTCCCTGTACTGTGTGCAATTAAGTATTTTCTGGCTGTAATAATAGCACTAGTGATATTTAGAATGGAAGGGTGAGAGGGTATGAAAAGCAAATGAGTTAAAGGAAATGGGAAAAGCAAATAATCTTGTAGAAAAAAACAAAACAAAGAAACAAACAAAAAAGTTTCAAAGATATAAACAGGGATAGTGTACTAATCAACCATAAGCTGAAAAGGCATTAGAGAGACAGAGAGAGGGTGAAAATAAAAAATAAAAAAGAGTAAGATAAGAATAAAAATACAAAAGTAAATGAAAGAAAAATGTATATATATATAAAATAAGATATAAAAAGAACAAACCTCCAAGTTCAAATGCAGTGATGTTTCAGTCTTAATAATTTTGGTGTTCATCCCTCATCCTCCAATCCTGGAGACTGTGTCTCAGATGTTGTTCTGTAGTTGTCTCATCAAAGGGGTAACATAAAATAGAACAAAACCACACAAAAAAGGAAAAAGAACCAATACCCCACAAAGTGTCCCATGTTCAAATGCAATACAGTTTCAGTAAGTTTTTCAGCATGCAGGTGTAGCTCAGTTGTTTTCTCATCAAAGGTAGGGAGAGAGAAAAAAAAAAGTCTGGAGACCGGTCTGTGAATGGCTATCTGTGGCTGTGGCTTGCCCGCCCACTGCTGTCAGTCTGCTGTTGCTGGTGGCGTTATTTATGCAGATCTCTGGGGTGAGCTTAGCGCTCACCTGGCCCAACAGGCTTTCTTTGCTCAGAGTTCTCCTCTGCACAATGCCACTGCTACAAGCTTTCCCCTTTGCAAGCACACTGGGGGAGGTGACACTGCTTTGTCAGGCCTGCATGTTTATTTACAGTTAACATAGGAAGTGGGTCTTCCTGCCTCTCCTGTGGAGTCTTCCTCCCACCACTGCCCTTACAAGCTTTCCCGCTCCTGATTGCCAGGCACATGCTGCAACTCCTGCCAGCTGGCGTGATTGTTTACAGTTCATGTGGGAAGTAGGTCTTCCCCCTTCTCCTGTGGAGTTTTGCTCTCTCCTCCACTCTCACAAGCTTTCCCACACCTGGTTGCTTGGTGCGCACTCCCGCTCGCACCCTCTCTGGCCAGGCCCACTTGTTTATTTACAGCTCCCTGAGGGATTCCCCTTCCCCCCTCTTTGGCGCTCAGGATGCCCCACCCTCTTTGCTACATGTCTTTATTGTTCTTATTGCTTATTACTCAGTTTCTCTTTTTTCCCCAGGTGGGGGTTGGTCTGTCCAGGGGGCTATGCTGATCTGGCCCAGGGATGTCTGTGGAAGTACCATGTACCTCTTAGCTTACCTTGTGGTCCACATCTTCTCAAGACATCTGGATGTGGGCCACTGGCAGCTTGGGGGCCCTTCTGGTTTCTCCATTCATCGTGAAGTGGAGATGCTCTGCACAGGCTAGAGGTGTGGAGGGGTCAGAGTTTTGCCTCTTCTCGGTGGCCTTGCCTTTAAGGTATGTCTCCAGCATTTCTCCAAGATTTCACTTTAGGAGGCACACTTTCTGCTTCCTCCCTCTAGCCGCCATCTTGGAAACTCTCATTCAGACTTTCTTAATGCATCAATCAATCAATCGTCAACTTGACTGATTCTTTATGTTGAATTTTATGATTTGAATGACATGTATGTAGATAGGGACAGGAGTCTGAAATTATTCCTGCAATAATAAACTAAGAAATAAACTGATAATCCTCTATCAGGTAGAGGTATGTGTAGAAAGGTCATAGTGAAACTCATTATTTTGTAAAATTTATGTATAATAATAAAATAAAATGAAAATCATTTTTACTAATATCATTTTTGATAATTTTTATAAGACAGTGATGCCTTTTTATGGTCAATCATCCTTCATGATATATCTGTGGTTATACATGTATTTCCAAAAATTTGAAAATTTCTCAGAATTTAAAATTCCAAGTTTAGGAATTAAACATTCAAGAACACTGAAGGACATTACACGTACTTGAGAAGTTATGTACTGGAAGTATCAGTCTGAAAGTCAAGAAATTAAGAAGATCCATGAGATCAACTAGAAAATAATAATGTTTATGGTTACCATGTTTCCAATTTATTTTGATTCTCGATAATATGGTCTTACCTCTTATAGTTCTAAGCTCTTAGTTCTTGTATAATGTGGACTTAGACTACATAAGGCATATTTTACAATTTTTCATTTCTTTTAATTAGAATTAAATTTCTTTAAAGTGGGATAAGTATTTCATTCTATATATTTTCTTTGAAGAATAAGCTCTGTATTATTCTGATCATGGGTTTATTCTCTCTAATGTCTCTGGTCTTGCAACATTCTTTATTGGAACACCACTGTGTTGGTTTGCTTCATTTACTATTTGAAATACTTGAGAAAAAATTAACTCATGAAAAATAAATGTTTATTTTATTTCACACTTTTCTCAGATTCCAATTCATTAGCCATCGATCCCATTCCTTTTATATGTGGTCAGAACAAATCATATCCCGGGGGATAATGTGGCAGAAGAAAAGTGCTTAATGAATTGGCAGGAACACATACAAATGTTAAGGAGGAATTTTGTTTCTTACCCTTTTGACAACATGTTCTCAGTGACATGAAAGCAAAACATTAGGGCCTCATGTCCCAAATTTTGCTTCATGTCCCAGTAGAACCCTCCTAGACACCAATCTCTTAAAACACAGGTCTCTGGGGAGCAGGAAACTTTAAGTCTAAGATGGGTGAGTTTAAAAACAGGTGAATAACACAAAAGTCAATGAAGAAACAATTCTAAAAGAAATCTATTTAATGAGCCTTTCAGAAGGTACTAAATCGTATTCCATCCTCTTTGGACCATTCCTGCACTATGTAGTCATGGTGCTGGAGAAACAAATTATAATCGTGGCTGTCATCTCTAATCCCACTTCCACACCCACCTGTGTTTCTCTTTCTACTCTCTGGCCTTGCCTGACATCCATATTATTTCTACTAAAGTTCTAAAGATTATTGTATACAGCCAAAAGAAAACAGGATTTATCTCTTATGTGGGTTGCTAAATGCAAAAGTCTTTTTTTTGCTGTTTTTGATCTCTGGATAATATGATGCTGGCTGTGAGAGTTTATGTCCATCTTTCACCCACCTCCTGCATTACATGGTCATTGCAGAGCCTCAGATATGTGGCTTCTGTGTGTGCTTCCATTTTTTAAAAACTCCATTTCTCCTTACCAATAAAGTGTCAGTCACCAGTCTATTATGCAACAAGAAAACAAACCAAAGCCACCAGAGTACATAAATAATCGTTTCAATTTAGACTTTTGAGCTCCCAAATGCACAATATGGTCTTATAATTCCCCAACTTCAATGATGTGGAGACTGCCAATTTCTTCTGTGACTTTCCTGAAGTTCTTGATCTCATCTGTCCTGACACCTTTACAATCAAATACTGCTGCTTTTTATGTGTTCTATATTCTCCCTATGTCTTTGATCCTTATCACTTGGTATAAAATTGTTTCAAAAATTCTGTAAGTCCATCAATGTTCTCCACATATGAATTTCACCTTCCATTGGTTTGTTTAGTTATTGAGGCATGCATTGCAGTATACCACCTTGTGATGCACCACATTCTCTTAGAAAACATGTACTGGCCTCATAGTTGTATGTTTGGCGTGCCAGTACTCAGCCCCAACATCTACTCCTGTGGAACTGTTACATTATAATGTCTGGTGAAACTTCAGTATAAGAATAGCCTAATCAAAGGACCTATGCTGACCATGTAGAATGGTGTGGAAAATACGGCAAAAATAAATATCCAGGCCAATAAATTCTGCCTCCATGAACTTGTTATTATTAAACTTTGGTGCATTTAATTTGTCATTGTGTTATGTATTAGGCTAATGGCTGCCAAGTTTGCAGGTGAGAAGAACTGGAATTCATTTTGTGGTACTAGGATTTGAAATCCTGACCTTGTGCTTCCTAGGCATAAGCTCTCAGATTCGAGAAATGCCTCAACTGGTTTTACTTTAGGAACTTTTCCTTTGTGGAATTGCATTTATATCTAGGCCAGTCTGGTTCCTCTATCCTCTTATTTATGCTTCCCACACAACTGGGATCACAGATTTGAATGACCACAACCATCCTTTAGTGGCTGGGCAGGGGTCTTGTGAACATGTTGCTTGGGCATGCCTTGAAAGTATGATCGTTGAGATACCTACCACTTAAATAGCTAGAATTACAGGTGCCATTGTTTTTGGCCTGAATTGGAATTTTTAAAAACATGGATACAAATTCAGCTAAGTAAATGAAATATGGTCAAAGCAAATAACCACAGGAAGATTGAGATGAAGAACTAACTCCTGATCCACTTACATTCTCCCGGTGACTTCATTCTTCTGTACTAAGTGGTAAGCTCTGATTCACTACCCACATATGAACTTGGAGCTGCACATTCCCACCTGCTGTGTGACCTGCTACCCCAAACTCTGAAATGACAGGGAAACCTGCCCCTGCATAAGCAGAACCCAGGGCAACCTCTGATATATGGGTAACAGAGGCACTAACCAACAGGACTTGGTTCCACTGTGCCTGCAGTGATACTCTACTGGGTTCCTGGAAGCCTGTGCATGGCAGTAGGCCTTATAACTCCTGTGGTCCACAGGCTGTGTTCTCTTATGACTGCAGCAGCTGCTGTGGCTTCTGGAAGCCCATGTGCCAGCACAAGTACATCCCAGGGCTTTCACTTTATTGTGGACTTCAGAAGAATCAACTTTCCCATCAGTGCCAGGAACCCACTTTTACACATACAAGTGAAGCCCAGGCTCTGTTTTGCTGGTGCCAGAACTTTTCACTTTCCATAGTGCAAGGAGGCCCAGTGTTCTCTATCAAGCCCTCCTGAGGGAGAGTCCCTGCTGCCTCATCAAAAGCAGGAACCCAGCTACTCCACTGAGTGGTAATTGCCCCTCTGTTGATGCCAGGAGACCTACCTCCCTAAAATGCAAAAAGGCCCGGTGCTTCCCACCATTCCCGGCATTGGCAGAGCCTCTGCTTCTCCACTAAAGGACAAAGATGCCAGATTCCCCACTAAAGGGAGTAAAACTGCAACCTGTTACTCAGTGGGCAACACCACAAGGCCTGCCTCCCAAGGTGTACAAGGGCCCAGCACATCCCACCTTATCTGCCTGCAGGAGCATCCAATCTACCAGCTCCTCCACTGAGTGGCAATCCACTACTCTGGGGCTGTCAGGAGGCCTGCCTCCCAAGGTGCACAAGATGTAATTCATGACTGAAAGAAAGCAGCTGTCAACATAGACTAGTCTATCCAGAAAAATTATCCTTCCCAATCAAAGGACAAGAAAGCCCTTTCACAACAAAGAAAAACTAAAGGAATTCACAGCTACTAAACTAGCACCATGGAGGATTTGGACTGTTACATAGAGAAGAAGATACTAGAGTGAGACAGGGAGACTCAAGAAAGAATAAAACATTTGAGCAAGCATACCAATAAAAAGGAAGGGGCAAAACCAGCAACAGGGGAATTAAAATGACTGGAAACAATTGGCACCTCTCAATATTAACACTGAATATAAAATATATAGAATCACAAACTGAAATAAAATAAAATACCCAACAATATGTTGTTTATAAGAGACTCATGTCATTGAGAAAAATAAACACTGGCTTAGAGTCATAGGGTGGAAAAAGTTTTACAAGAAAATGGACCCCATAGATAGGGTGGAATAGCTATAATCATGTCTGCCAAAATAGACTTCAGAATAAAATCAGTCAAGAGACAGTGAAAGTCACTTTATTTTAATTAAAGGAAGAATTCATCAAGACGAAATACCAACTCTTAACATATATGCACCAAACAAAGTGCTACCATCTACATTAAAAAATCTATTTGACAAAAGAACACAGATAGACACAATGATAGTGTGAGACCTGAGTACTCCACTGTCTCCAACAGATACATCATCCAGGCAAAATACCAAAGAAAATTCAGAGCTACTGCACACATTGGATCAAAGTGATATGATAGGTATCTACAGAGTATTTCACCCCAAAACCATGCAAAACACATCTTTTCTGCAGCTCATGGAACATTCTCCAAAGTAGGTCATATCTAAGTATACAAAGCAAATGTCACCAAATTCAAGAACAATGAAGTAACCAACAGCCTGTATAATTTCAGATAACAAAAGAATAAAACTAGATCTCAACAACAATAGAAACCACAGAATATATTCAAACATATGAAGACTAAACAACAAGACTACTGAAAGACCAGTGGGTCTATCTCAAATAAACAACCTAATGATGCACATTGAACTATTAGATAAACAAGAAAAAACTAATCAAAATAAGAAGACAAAGAGAAATAATAAACAGCAGGACTGAGATCACTGAGATTAGAAAAAATAACTCTAAAAATAATCAATGAAACAAAAATTTGTTTCCTTGAAAAGATTAAGAAGATAGACAAACCCTGAGCCAACATGACAAGACAGAGGAAGGAAAAGACCCAAATTAATAAAAATCACAGGTGAAAAAGGGGACATACCACAAATTCTACAAAATCTAGAAAACCATTGAAAGTATATTGAAAACTTATATGCAAGTAAACTGTAAAATCTAGATCAAATGGATAAATCCCTAGATGTGTATAACAAACAAAAAGTGAACTAGCATGTTAATCACCTAAATATTCCTATTGCAATCAATACAATCAAAGCAGCAAAAAAGACTCCATACAAAGAAGAGCACAGGACATGATGGCTTCATGGCCAAATTTCACCAAACCTTTGAAAAAGAAATAACACCAATACCCCTCACACTCTTCCAAGAAGTAGAAATGGAAGGAATACTACCAAATTCATTAAATAAATCCAGCAATTCATTCATTCCCAAACCTACTAAAGACACAACCAGAAAAGAGAATTATAGATCAATATCTTTAATGAATATAGATGCAAAGATTCTCAACAAAACACTGACAAACAGAATTCAATAACACATCAAAAAAAACATACACAATTAAAAAGTCAGTTTTATTCCCAACAAAATACTAGAAAACAGAACTCAACAAAACATCAAAAAAATCATACACCATGAGAAAGTCAGTTTCATCCCGGAGATTCAAGGATGGTTCAACATACATAAATTCACAAACCTAATACAGCATATAAAGAGAAACAACAACAAAAACTTGACGATCCTCATAATGCACACAGAAAAATTCTTTGACAAAAATCAACATCCTTTCATAATATAAGGTCTGAAGAAACTAGGAATAGCAGGGACATTCCTCAACATAATAAAGGCTATATATGACAAACCTAGACCCAACATAATACTAAATGGAGAACAACTGAAACTGTTCTCATTAAAGTCAGGAATGAGACAGAGCTGTCTGCTTTCTCCAGGCCTATTCAATATAATTTTGGAATTCTGAGTCAGAGAAATAACCTAAGAGCAAGAAATAAAAGGATTCAAATAGGAAAGAAAGAAGTCAAAGTATCCTTATTTGCAGATGGCATGTTCCTGTGTATAAACATCTACCAAAAATCCTATTAGAAATCATAAACAATTTTAGGAAAGTAGCAGGATACAAAATTAACATAGACAAATCTGTAGCCTTCTTATACACCAATAACAACCAGACTGAAAAAGAAATCATGGAATCAATTCCATTTACAATAGCTTCAAAACAGCAAAGTACCATGGAATAAATTTACTGAAAGAAATTAAAGATATTTTTAATGGAAACTACAAAACACTGAAGAAGGAAATCAAAGGAGACATTAGAAGATGGAAAGAACTTCCATGCATGTGGAATGGTAGAGTTAACATTGTCAAAATGGCCCAATTACCAAAGCAGTCTACATTTTCAATGAAATCCCTATCAAAATTCCAATGACATTTTGCACATAAATAGAAAAATCAATCTTGAAAGACATATGGAAGCACAAATTAACTCTAATAGCCAAAGCAATTCCTACCAAAATGTCCAACACTGAAGATATCACAATACCTGACTTCAAACTATATGGTAGAGCCTTAGCAATAAAAAAGCATGGTATTGGCACAAAACAGATAGGAAGACTAGTGGATAAAAATAGAAGACACAGACATAAACCCATGCATCTATAGACAAGTGTTCTTTTACAGAGGAGGCTAAAACACATGATGGAGAAAAGACAGCCTCTTCATCAAATGCTGCTGGGAAAAATGTAGAAGACTGAAACCAGATCCTTATGTTTCACCCTGTATCAACATCAACTCAAAGTAGATCAAAGACCTTACTATAAGGCCTGGAACTTTGAAACAACTCCAGGGAGCAGTAGGAAATGTGCTGTAACAGTAAGGTATAGGGAACAACTTCCTAAACAAGAACCCAAAATGCTCAGCACCTAAGAGAAACAATGAGCCAATGGGACTGCATCAAAATGAAGAGCTTCTGAACACCAAGGAAAACAGTCAGCAGACTCAAGAGACAGCCTACATAATGGGAGAAAATCATTGCAAGCTATTAATCCAATAAGGGACTAATATCCAGAACTTACAGGGAAATCAAAAAACTCAGCCCCCAAATAATCAACACTCCACTGAATAAATGAGCACATGAATTAAACAGGAATTCTCCAAAGAAGAGGTACAAATGGCCAGCGAATACATGAAGAAGTGTTCAACTTCCCTGGTTATAAAAGAGATGCAAATCAAACTAACACTTACATTTCACTCACCCCAGTTAGAATGGGAACAATCAAGGACAACAACAAATGGTGGTGAAGATGCAGTGAAACCAGAAACCATCTACACTATTGGTAGGAATGCAAATTAGTACAACAACTATGGAAAGCAGTATGAAGATTACTTAAGCTAAAGATAGAATTGCCATATGATCCAGTGATACCACTACTGTGCATCTACACAAAGGAACATAAGACAGGGTACAATAGAGACACCTGTACACTGACACTCACTACATCACTACTCACAATACACAAGCTGTGGAAACAACCCAGGTGCCCTATAACTGAGGAATGGGTCAAGAAATGTAGTGTATATACACAATGGAATATTACTCAGCCATAAGATACAATGGCATGTGCTTTGAAGGTAAATGGTTGCAATTAGATAACATCATGTTAAAGGAAGTAAACCAGGCTCAGAAATAAAAAGGCTGCATGTTTTCTCTCATATATGCAAGATAGAACCAAAAGGTGAACATAAACACAAAAACAAGCATAATCATATACAAGGTTAGATGTAGAACATGGTAGTAATAGTGAAACTCCTTTATGGAACCCAGAAAAAGGAGGAAAATAAAAAAAAATGATAGAACATCAGTAACAGTGTATAACATAAGATGGAAAGGTAGAGGATATAAGGATGTCTATTGAAAGTTATTGAAAATAGAGGGTAGGAGGCAAAGGGGTAAGAGAGAGTAATGGAAGGGGTTGAAAGGACCAAAGTAAAGTATACCCACATTGGCATATATTGAGGCATCCCTTTGAATATCAACTTAAATATTAATAACAAGGATGGGATTGTGAAATAGTTACAGTGTTTCGAGGTTACTAGTGGAAAGGGGAAGGTGAATGATAGAGATAAAGGTGATGGTATATGGTAGATGGACTTCATGTAACCATATGAAACAGAGCTATGAAACCTCTTCAGTTGCTTTGAGTGGGAATGACAGGGATGAGGGAGAGATGATGAGAGCAATAGAACTAGCATACAATATAAGTCTACTTGAATTGTCACTATAAATCCCCCAGTGTACGATGAACATATCATAATAAAAACTCATGGAAAGATGAAATATTTCTGCAGATAGATGGTGTTGATGGCCTCAACACTACATGTGTGCAGTTAATGCTACCAATCTTTACTGTAATATAGTTAAAATATTAAAAGAAAATCATGGAAATAAAAAGCAGATGAATCTTAAAAAGTAAATGAAATAAAGTAATTTCTCACATGAGCTTTCTTCTCAATATAGGAATAACCTCTCACCCTCTTGGAAATATTTCTATCTTTCACATTTTTCTCCATTAATATGATGAAGTCCTTAGAGACTGGCATAGTGTGGACCAAAGTGAATATGACCTCTGTGAATTGGGTCTCCTATGCCAGGTAATAGTAAATAATCTGTCTGTGCCTCTACATATTTAGTCTGGTGACTGTGTTCTAGTGATCCATACCTATGTCTCCTATCATGACATTCTGCAAAAGGGAGTTCTGCACTGTCATTTTTGTCATATCAATTTTGAAGATCAAGATTGAACCTTCACTCAATAACAGGAAAGTTTGTTTTTCACTTCCCTAGCCTTGGTCATTACCAAACAAATCCACAATGTAACCATGTAAGTACTGAAAGAGACAGGGAAGAAGGTAAATCTAACAGAATCTATACTTACTAATTATCAGAATAAATATAATTGCTTTGATAGCTTAATTGGAAAACAACTTTATGCATGTAACTTACATACACTGTGGAATTTATGTTCTTGGTTTTGATAGATGCCATACAATATTCATTAAATATTTTGCTTTCCACTTATTTTTGTTCTCCTCTGTCCCGTAGACATTTCAATCAAAAGAACAGAAAATAGATCCAACTGAATTGTTTGCTAAGCAATACAAACTATTATGAGGGTTCTGATGAGGAGGAGGGTGTCAGTAGCCATAATGTCATGTATTACTATTGATAGGTTCCTAAGTGACAGGCTTTGAGATACACATTCTGTATAGCTTGCTTCCCCTGAAAAGTGCTCCACAAGTCATAACTTCTCATTGTATTATTTTTCTTTTTCAGAAAAGTAAAGAACACACTATTTCTAAATAACATGTACCAGTAGTTAGGTAGAAAAGAGTATAGTGTTGTTTATATTGATTTGTGTGATTAAGACATAAGTCATTCTTGCTGTTGACAGAGCAATCAGCCATTTATTTCTCTTTACTTTCACTCCACAGAGAACTCTTGCTTACTGTATTCTTTCCTCCTGGTGCTTCAGCTAGATTTCTGCTAAGTGATAGCAGTGGATTTCAGGGTATGACCACAAAGATTAGGAACAAGATAATTCAGCACAGACATCTCTCTCTTTCTACATATCTTGGTCATCTTTTTTTTTGTTTGTTTTGATACAGGGTCTCTCCATGTAGTTCATGATTATCTCAAATTCACGATTCTTTTGACTTATTCTCCAGATTCTGGAGATAACAGGTGTGAGCCACTGATTTGGTCTCATCCTCCTCCATCAGCCCGCTCTGGCTCCAATGGGGAAATAAAGTCTGATCCTTACATCATCACAAGCCTGGAATCTGGAGATGATGAAAATGCACCTATGGAACTCCTCCAAAGCTTTTGGATGCTTAGAAAATTATTTAGAATACTAGTACTCCAGATGCAGAGATTGGTAACTTAGTTTTGAATGCTTATTTGATCCACTTATTTTCTCAGGACTTCATACTTATTAAACAAGAGCACTTGTACAACATACCTCACCCTATTTTGTTAATTTCTTTTTCTTACATGTCTCCTCTTTTTTCTTCCTGGGTTGACCCTGTACTGCAATCCTCCTACCTATGTCTCCTCCATTTCAGCTCTTACAGGCCCAAGCCACTATGCCTATAAGAGTTTCGACTTTTGAGATGTATCACTGAATTGTGCCTTGCAGGTTTCTTAGTGCTGTCCTCTCAATCTTTGCCTGTCAATTAGCAGGGAGTACTATATAGGCATGTGCCACCAATATGGGCCCAAGCCCATATTATCCTTGTTAAAGAAGTAGCATGTAAAATAAAACTTGTTTTAAACATTAAGTAGAACCATCCTCAACTCACAAACATTAGTCATAATTATTATGGTTACAACACAGTGTTTTTGTGTTCTCATTTTGTTCTTTTCAGTAATGCTCCATATAACTAGAAACAAGATAAAATAACCCTTATCTTAATGTCTGTCCCATAGAGTAAATAGTTCTAAAATGCAAGTTAATATGTAGAAAATTTTACTATTCAAACATTCCTGCAGAGAGTAAGTGCAAAAATGATACATGCTGAAACATTCCTTGACTGGGGGAGGGCCCATCAGAGAGAGTCCTTGAGGGGCTGAATTCAAGAATGATATATTTGATACATCATAAAAACTTTTGTGAATGTCACAATGTATTTTCACCCAGCACAATCAAAATAAGACAAAGAAAAAAAAGGGACAAAGAGATGGATAGTTAATAGTTATTCCTGTGACTGAGACACATTTTATGTTTTCACATTATTTCAGGCACCAATGCCATCCTAAATTGCATGTTTCAATAAAATTCATTATTTTCAAAATATGTGGAATTGTTTATTAGATATTAATATTATGATATGCATATTGGGTTCCAAATGTTCCAGTTATTTAGAAGAGTGCTAGTTTCCTTGTCTCTGTTAGGTAGTATCAGCACAGAGAAATTGAAAAGCAATATGAAAACTGAAAAGGGCTATTACATGGGAAACGTTGATTTTTCCATCTCAGGATGCTTTCTGCTTGCCTGGTTTTAAGTAGGAATATTATGCTATATAGTAGCTGAAATTTCTTGGTGAATTATCTTGGAAGAATTATTAATAGATTTCAAGAAATTTGAAGGTGCATATCACAATAAGAAGTTTTAGACAATACTCACTCATTCACAGGAACAAAATATCAATGTCACTAGTAGGAAATTTAACAATCATCAGCTGCAGATTGTCAAAAACTGCCCTTACCAACCAAGGTAGTTAAAAGATAACTAACACATAACAAAGTTTTCTCATTGTGAATGAACAACTTTGATTTAGTGTTTAGATTTTTTAAAGTCTTAGTACTTAAACATTCTTACAAAGGCTTAAAAACAATACTTCCCATGGTTTAGGATAAAATAAGGTGCATTTGACTACATTTTTGTAAAAAAATAGTTTTATTACCTTTTGAATTAGTATACTTAATAACACTATGGAGTTTAAGTGTGGCTATTCCATACATTTATACAGTGTACTTTTAATAAGGGCATACTCACCATTGTATTCTTATTTCTTCCTTCCTCATTTTCCCATAATATGAATGATTATTTTCTTAAAGGGAAAAAACTCCTGTGACATGTCCATTTTTTCTTAAAACTTTTGACTTGATTTGACTTTGATGACAATCTGATTATCAGTAATTTTTTTTGCTTTTAAACATTATTCAGTTGAGTCTAGGTGCACATAGAAAGAGGTAAATAACACAAAAGTGAATGATGAAATACATCTAAAGGACTGAATTTGACACAATGGAGATGTACAACTATTGTGTAGGAGCCTTGAAGTGAGGAAAAATACTCTGCATACTTGCAGAGTATAAGCCAGGAGCATTTATGTTCCTCTTTTTCTAACTCTCTTTTCTATTTTGGAAGATGTCCAAGCAACATTAAACCACAAAATATGACATCTGTATCAAAATTTCTCCTCATATAACTCTCAGAGATCCAGAGTCCACATCTCTATGTGGACTGCCTGACACAGATGTCCATATTTATTATTTTTGGATGTATAGACAGTCTGCTTATTGCTCTGATGGCATACAATTGGTTTGTGGCCATCTGTTATCCCCTACATTACTCAATTATCATGAATCTTCAACTCTGTGCATTGTTAGTGTTTGTGTCATTTTTGTTTAGCCTTTTGGACTCCCAGGTACACAATTTGATTGTCTTACAATTTTCTTACTTTGAGAATATAGAAATTTCTAATTTCTTCTGTGACCCTTCTGAACTTCTTAGTCTTGGCTGTTCTGAAGCCTTCATCATTAATATTACCATGTATTTTATTGTAGACATCTCTGGATTTCTTCCTATCTCAGGGATATTTTTCTCCTACTTTAAAATTGTTTCCTCTATCCTGAGAATCCTATCAACAGGTAGGAAGCTTAAAGCCTTCTTAACCTGTGGGTCCTACCTATCAAATGTTTGCCTATTTTATGGAACATGTCTTGGAGTGTACCTCAGTTCAGCTGTATCACATTCTCCAAGAAAGGGTGTAGTAGCCTCAATAAGGTACACAGTGGTCACCCCTATGCTGAATCCCTTCATCTACAGCCTGAGGAACAGGGACATTAAAAGTGCCCTGAGGAAGATTCTCAGGAGGACATTGTGATTTCAGAAAATGTGATTCACTTGGTATGTTGATCATAAAAATCAGTACAAGTAAACATGTCTACATGTAAAGATTAATACATTGTTCACACTATTTTTCTAGATTTTATTCCTTCATGGTGCATAATAGAGTGGTGACTATCAGGTTTCAGGAAGAATGTATGGGGAGTTTTGTAAATGGGCATAGATTTGTAGCTTGGGAAGATGAAAAATTTCTGGGGCTAGATTGTACAGAGGGTTGAATGACAATATGAATGCAATAAATACCTCAGAATGAGAACATAAAAAGGTGAAAAGAGTAAGGTTTTTTCCTTGTAAGTGTTTACCACAATATAGTGGTAAATATAGCAGATAAATAAAATGAAAATAGTTACCCATTTCTCTCTGCTTTATTAATGTATATTAATTTTATGCTGGGGGATTTACTGTGATGTATCTATACTGCATATAATACACTTTGTTCAAGTTCACTCCTTCTATCACTCTTTCTTATTTGCCTTTAAAACAGTTTTCATGGAATTAATATAGTTTGTTTTTCCTTAAAAAAGAAATGAAGAAAATTCGATGTAATATCCTAAAGAGTCCTCCAACGTAGAGGATGGGAAGTATCCTTAAAGGGACACTTGGTTTGTTTTCTCTTTCTCAAATAATATTATCATGTCCTAAGGTTTGGGATAATAGGGATAAAATTAGTTAATTATGGGCTCTGTACCTTGAGCATCAAAGTTCAAATAGTAATAAATAATCAGCCTGTACTTTAGGTCTTTCAGTTTTGTGACTCCTTTCCAGGGAACCCCTTACATATGGCACCTTCACATGTAGCTTTCATCATCAGGAACCTCCTTTCTGACGCTGTTAGTAATATTAGTCCTAAGTACGAACACTAAGCATTGAACAGTCAACAAGTAAGGGAGTTACTTTGGATCCAAGTCTTTACCAATGACCTAACAAAGTAGCAACATAACTCAGTAAATACACAGCGAGACACTAGATTTAGTAAGGCTCATATGAATAATTGTCTCTTCATCAAGAAACAACTATGACAGTTTGAACAGGAAGTTGGACAAGAACCAGTGGGAATCACTTCAGTTAAGTTTTTTTATGTTCTTAGTTCTTCTTTAACAGTAATCTTATTCCTCTTAAATTTTTACCCACATTAATTACACGTCCAATATATATATATCGCTTATATCAGTAGAACCATCATCCCACCATACTTTCATAAATTCTACAAAGGGCTTATGAAGGTAAAGGTGAAGATGGGGAAGTTTATGACAGTAAAATAACATCATGAAGCATTATTGATGGTTTCCTAAATGCTGAGCTCTCTGTAGCAATTTTTCATTTCATCTTCCTCTAATTATAGGTGTTCACATTATTATGATTTTAGAGAAAGTGAAATGACTCATTATATTTATATAATTGTATAAGGTTGTTTGGTAGAAATTAGTTGCGTTTGAATCGGTCTGTTGTATTATGGACAGAGGACACCTTTAAAGAGAATCCACGCAGCTGTTGCCTTTGTCAACTGAGCCAGCCATTTCACTTCCCATCACTCCAGGAAGAGTTCCCATGTTTACTTTGCTGTTCCTTTTAGGGAATCCTATTATATCAATAGCAGAGAAGTTGGTGGATACAGCAGCACTAAATATAAGAAGGATAACAAGACATTACAAAATGATCATAGAAAGCACCAGAATACAACAATTCAGCCTAAACTTCTCCCTCACGGTCCTGGATGTACTTCCAACAGTACCTTCCTCCTATATTCTTATAATCAATCTAGTCAATCTCAAAATGAAGCACAAAGCCAGGTTTTGGTTTCGTTCCAATACTGTAAAGTGGAGAGTGCACTGAAATATACCTCAGATCCACCAGTGTTTTGGCCCATTGACTTCTTCTTTCAACTTGCTGTTGACTTGGAAATAATGAATAGGATGACTGTATCACCTGGGACAGTGGAACACACCTGTAATCCAAGCATTTTGATTACAAAATGAGAAAAGAAGATTACAAGTTCAAGGCTAGCCTGGACTACATAGTGAGACTGTGTTTCAAAAAAAAGAGAACATAAAATCAGTATTACAGTACCAGATATCATTTGAATTTTTTATTGTTTTTCACTTATTCATATGTGGATAAATTATTTGGACCATCCCTCCTGCTTGCCCCAATGCTCCTCACTCTCCCTCAACCCCTCTAGTTTCCAGGCAGAACCTGTTCTGTCCACTTCTCCAATTTCCTTGAAGAGAAGACAGAAGCAATCATAAGCAAGAGTTAGCATTTTTGCTAGTTTGAGATAAAGATAGCTATACAGAGAGATTTCTAGCATTTCTTCTATGTACGTGTGTGTTACAACCCAAATTGGTTCATCTTTACTAGACCTCTTCACTACTTCCCAGTCACCTTCCAATAGTGGCTTCTGTCAGTTGAAGATTGCTTTGTTTGCTCCTCTACAGAGGGCACATCAAATACTTTCAAGCTTTGGCTTTCCTACCTTTCCCTATTCCTCCTGTACATCTATGCCCCTTAGCGTATGACCCATGTCCAGTAATATTACTGCATTTGTTTTAGGTCTAAAGTCTGCATATGATGGAGAACATATGGTTTTTGGCCTTCTGAGCCTGGCTAACTTGGCATAAGATGATGTTTTCCAGTTCCATCAATTTACTTGTGAATGACAAAATTGCATTCTTCTTTTGGCGGAGCAAAATTTCATTATGTATAAATACTACATTTTCTTAATCCATTCATCAGTACTGGGGCATCTTGGTTGTTTCCATAACTTGGTATTTTGAATAGTGCTGCAATAAACATGGGTGTGCAGGTGCTTTTGGGATAAACTGAGTTGTATTCTTTTGGGTATATCCCTAGGAGTGGTATTGCTGGATCATATGGCAGATTTATGTTTAGTTTTTCAAGAAGCCTCCATATTGTTTTCCAAAGTGGTTGTTATTGGCTTACATTCCCACCAGCAGTGCATGAGGGTTCCTTTTTCCTTGCATCCTAGCCAACATTTGTAGTCATTGGTGTTTTTGATGATAACTATTCTAACAGGAGTGAGGTGAAATCTTAGTGTGGTTTTGATTTGCAATTCTTTTATGGCCAGCATCTTTTAATATGTTTTTTGGCCATTTGGATTTCTTCCTCTGAAAAACCTCTGTTTAGTTCAGTTTCCCATTTCTTTATTGGTTCATTGATTTTGGAGGAGTTTAGTTTTTTCAGCTCCCTGTATATTCTGGTTATCAGTCTTTGATCTGGTGTATAGCCAGCAAATATTTTCTCCCACTCTGCTGGTGGTTTCTTCAGTTTAGAGACCATTTCTTTTGTTGTGCAGAAGCTTTTTAATTTCATGTAGTCCCATTTGTCCATCTTTTCTCTTAGTTGCTGGGTTGCTGCAGTTCTATTGAGGAAGTTATTTCCTAGACCTATTGCTTCCAGAGTATTTTCTTCTCTTTCTTGTACTGAATTCAGACTTTGGGGCCTGTTATTCAGGTTCTTAATCCATTGTGAGTTTGTACTGGTACAGGGTGAGAGACACGAATCTAGTTTCAGTTTTCTGCAGGCAGATAACCACTTTTCCCAGCAACATTTCCGGAAGAGTTTGATCCTTCTCTGTTAACCTAATTATTTCATCTCAGAAGGGCAAGTTTTCAGTATTTTTCAGACTCAATATTATTATTTGAGTTAATTTCACTGTCATAAAACTTCTTTTTAACTTTTTTTAGTAATTAATAGGTAATATTTGCTCCCTATGGTAATAACATGATATTATTGTATAAAATATTAGCAAAACATTTAAATATTGCTAAAGTACTAGTGCGAAAGTTAATATTTATAGTACTTGACCACTTTTTTGTGTCAGAATAGTTTATATTTGCATGATTATATATGTCATATATTTGGAGAGGACTTTGACTTCTGATTCTATAAATACAATGAAGCCTTTCTTGGCACAGAGGATGCATGAAAAATAAAATGGAATGTGAGTAGGCAACTTAGCTCCAAAATAGAATATGAAAAATAGCCCCATGGTGTGCCTCTGTCTGTGATCTAGACTAATGAGGGTAGAAATATTGGGACTGTGATTCAAGAGCCAACTCAGGCAAAACAATGAGACACTGTCTAAAGAACAAGTGAGGCATCTTTATTAATACCTGTCATCCCAATTATTCCTGAGGTATATGTAGCAGTATCACAGACTGAAGCTATAACCAGAATGAAAGTGTGTGACCCTATCTGAAAAAATAAGTAAAGCAAAAAGGCTTGAGTTGTGACTCAAATGGTAGTGTGCTTGCCTAGCACTTGTGAAGTCCTGAAAACAAAATCCTCATACACCAAATAAACATCTCTTTCATACATTGAATTCTATATCTGTTGATTTTTAAAAAGTGACTGTAATCAGTATGATTTTGACTCTGTTTCTTTCCTCTCTTCACATTCATCACTTTCAGAAATTACTCATATCACTACACTCAAGATAAAAACAGATTGACTATGCTTGGGTCATAGATAGATGGGCCCCATAATTATTTTCAGCATCATCTAGAGTATTCAGTTGTTCACAGATCTGGCAGAGATTTTCATACAAAGGAAAATGGGAAAATGCACAAAGAAATGTGTGCAAGTAAACCTTACGGCATTAGCTGAGGCACATTTCACAATTCAAATCATTCCCAGATTGAGAGCCACTTGATAATTATATTCATTAGAATACAGTCTATCCAGAATTCTGTATTTTCCATTTGATACAAGTGGAAGTATCATTCACTTTTTTGGAATTATCATTCTTAGTACTAGGTGAGATTCCTTCATTAGTATCATGGTGAGATTATCACTGGGCAGATTATAAGAAATTTTTTATACTGTTTCTTAAGAACAAAGGTATGTAATTGGTAATAAAAGATTTTATTGTGATGGGAAAGTTTGGGTATTAGTAGTAAGATTGAAGAGGCATCAATTATTGGTCTTCAAACAACTCTACCACATATATGGGAATCC